AAAATAAATCCAGTTCACGTTCGTTCGCCTGTTCTTCACCCCTAAGTGGATGTACAAAGTGGGAAAAATAGCTATCTTTTCGCTTTACCGTCAAACATTATCTGCAGCTCGTAATGTTCCGCTTACTATAAGGCAGTGTAGTCAAAATGTTTTCCTGTCCATTTCAAGAAGCGAGAAAGAGACTCATTCTTCCAAGTTTTTTGCAGGCGTACAATCGAGTTCCAGATATTATTCAATCATTTATGGATGCCATTCTTGACTATTAAGATAGAAACGATCACAATACATTTATCAAGCACTCTCATGACGAAACCATGGATAATCGTGGTAAACTTTTGGGTGAGAACTAATAATCAGTAACATGCCTTTGTAAACAGTGAAATTAGCAGTTTATCACAATTAGCGCATTCCTGTAAAATTGCTATTTTCAATTCGCAGTAACAGCGAGTTTTGCATTTGAAGCCAAGCTTAAAGATATGCGCATTAATAAAATGTCACGTCTGAGTCACGTCCAAAAGTCGTGGTTAGAGGTTGTCCAATTTATCCAGTTTATGCGCATAAATAAATTTTTTTCTGAAAACAAGCATGAAGCATTCAGTCTGGATTTTAACCCGATGAGATTACCGACGTGATAGTGAAATACGCTGACAATAAGTTTTACCATCGGCTTTGTGTAATGGATTAAATCAAAAACCAACAAAAAAATACCGTTCTAACAACGGCCAAAAACGGGAAACGTCATTTATTTATTCACTTCAACGATGACGGGTTTTAAATTTGAATGAAAATCTGTTGCACTGGCAAATTATGATAAATTTAAGTTCTGTAGCAATTAGCATATTTAATTACCGAAAATAGACGAAGATATCGTGAAGCAACTACAAGCAAAAACGCAAAGAAAGTAAAGCTAAAAAAATGGAATGTTAATCTTTCTTACGCTTTCATGATCGGGCCATTTCTGGCGCTTCTCTCTGAATAAGGCTAAAAGTCGAACGCTGCTCTCTATTTCCATATCATCAGCGAGGAGTGCCTTATTTTAAATCAGTACCGACAACAGCTATGTGGCGAATAGAATGTGTAATCTTCTGTTTCTTTGCCACAGTGATACTGATTTATCAACCTCGCAAGGAATGAAAACGAGTGGCCGGAGAGTCGCTCAAACCCGGGATCTCGCGTCTGACTTTTACCTTCTACCCCCACTGAGCAACCGCAGTTTAAAGCTTCCCCTGGAGAAGGATGCTATTTTATTAATTGTTATTTTTGCTCAAATTGTGAAAATAATTTCTAGAATAAAAAATTAGGAAAGCAAGTGGATGTTCACACTCTCAATTAATGCGCGCGATCAGCATTTCGTCTCTCTAGTGTCCAACACTAGAAAAGTTAATACTTCATCCAAAATGAGAGTAGGTTTCCGCGTTCATCCTGAGTTCCATTTATGCATCACCACAAGGAAATATCTTAGCTGCTGCCGGGTGGCCCCACAAAAATTACACACAAGGCTTTCGCAGTAGCTATTCTTCTATGGAAGAAATATCGAAAGATATTTCTCAGATGATGGCACTATCATCATCTGTTTACGGACCACGACTAATTTATGAGTCATTTGAAAAGGCTGAAGATAACTGTTGTCTATTATTCACTAACTAGCGTGATGGAAATATTGTGATGTGAAATCCCACTTACTACAATGGAAGCGGGCTGTTTACATGGACGTTCTATTTTTACGTGGTTTAGAAATAATTACATATGTTACTTGCAGTTCAATGATTTTACGAGTCAGTCGAAAATATTAAAAACTAATTATACTATTTATTCAAGAAACAAAGGGTTAGAGGACTGAGAAAAAAAGCTGATTTGTCATCATTAAAAACTTTTTGGCATTTCTGAATTGAATTACAACCAAATCAATCATTTTGCAGCAAATAATTACTAATAGGAATAGATATTAATCTTTATACGGATTCCTAATTTAAATTTCTGAGTATTAAAAAAACTTAGCTTCACATGAATATATCCAGTTTGAATATCCACGATTCTATCATTTGTCAACAAGCAAAAGACGTTAAGCTAAACAAATGACATCGATTAAAGAGCCGTGTTCAATACTGTCGAGATCTGGCCTACTTCCTATATGTACGGCTGCTCAGAATTAAAGTCGTGTTGAGTTGTGTTAATTTGTTATCAAGCCATTAGCAAAGGCCCAAAGGATCTGCAGCATTAATGCAGTAATTTAACATGGCATATCCGCCGGGGGTATACGTAGGAGGTGTACGAAGTCAGGGGAAAAACTTTAGCATAAAAAGTCGTACGAAACAAATAGACTGCAAAAACAAATCTTTCCAACTTTTCACCAGTAAAACTGGAGAGAATACTGCAACGCTTCATGCATATGCACTCACACATGTCGTCCATAACAGCTGACATGACGCTAGGCTTCGTATCACTTGTTTCAATGCTAATGGCATTACTGAGATCTGCTCTCTGATGCCAATTTGTAGCATCGCCGTTGTACATCATTTAGCTTTGCGTCGGAAGGAAAACCAAGCAATTATCTTCTCGTCTCCCATTTTGTCGTTTTTGCAAAAGCTCGACGTGGCAAGCGATACGATTTTACGAACTCTGAATATCGCAAAGCATGATTTCCGGAGTCTGACGTTGTTCAAGCCGATAAAAATGAATATCACCGGGAATATTACATGTTTTAGTTTTAGTCCCGTAGCTTTAACAGATTTGGAAGGTCTTCGCATCCGGGTTAAAGTGAGCTCATTAGTGGCAGTGTCACCGTAGCACTACATTTATGTGACATTCATCGATGTGTCATACGACGGTGAAGAAGGCGCTCGTCGCCATATTGTAACCTAGATGCAAAACACGGAAAACTTGTCTGGTTGTGAAAGAACTGTGCCCAATGGCGAAACGCGGGGGAAGCACAAAGAAATGCATCATTTGTCGCCCTACCTTAAAGAAACCGACCACAACAACATCAGAGGAAGACTTGAAATTCTTCGCTTCTTCGACTGTGTTTATGTCTTTGGCAGGAGGACCACTCTTCTTGTTCAACCACTCGATAATCTGTTCGCCAGTTCGACCACCTAAAACAAAATTCGTGCAAGAACGCCATTCTTCTCAATTACGAACCATCCCTCTTACCTGTATACTCGAATTGGGCGCCATTTTTGAAGAACTTCAGGGTAGGGTAGCCGCGCACTTCATACTTCTCTGCCAGATCTATCTCTTTCGTGGCATCGATTTTTGCCAACTTGATTTCGCTTCCTTCGCTCTTCAGCTTATTGGCAGCATTCGTGTATTCCGGAGCGAGGGCTTTGCAATGTCCACACCATGGGGCATCTGAAATAACACCGATTTGGTAAACCCCAAGAGCAACTAATAGAACACACAGTAAATCTGTTTCATTCGTTAAACCCATGGTTAAACTGTCAAACGAGAGAACGCCACAATCTATCAACGGATATCTTCAGCAGCATATTACGAGAAAAACGAGTAGGGCCTTCGAGCTGTAAACTAATCTAACGAAGAAAACTGAATGAAACACCATTTGCACGGACTTCACGAATGTGCGAACCTTGGCATGCATTAGCTTGTATTAGCTCTGTATGTTGTGTAAAAAATTCAAGAAGCAAAAAAGCTCATGCATAACAGTGTAACTGATCTGGAGTTAAAATATCCTGCCACTTCTCCGGGTTCACATGGTGTAGTCGTACCATTTCTTGCTTCTATTAGCCTAGACTAACGTTGAAGGAAGTCGCGGCCTCATGGTATTTCATCACCTGCGGCGCATCATTTCGGCCGAACCAAACGTTTCGAATAATTAATTTAGATTTTGTATGAATTCTTGCAATCTAGTGCCTAACAGCGTGACTTTGCGAATAAACTTTAACTAACTGTTGGAAATACTCTTGGCAAAATGACCTTTTTCAAATGACGTGCATAAGTTCTACAAAAGTTATATCCATATGTGTAAACCAGTGTGTGAAATGCTAGAATAAAACTGAAACAAGAAAATCCACCTTCATAAGAACATTACTACCTCAAATCTTCCTCTACCACATATGTAATCGATATTGTCACTATTTCTATATTTAAGTAGGCCCAAACTCGGGTATTACGATTCACAGAACTTTGTATTTGAGATCAAAAGAGTGCAAAGAAATCTGAGAAACGAAACCGCTTCCCGTTCAAATAACTTCTTTTACTTACCGGTTTTTAAAAAACATTACCATTCGATTACCATACCATTTGCCGAAGAACCGGTTTCAAAATAAATTTGGACGGCAGATGCAGTCGTTGTTATAACATTGACATAACGCTTTTGCTCACAAAGTTAGAGGAGACGAGGATCAAAGACTGACAAAGATGACGATGCACACTTCGAACAGAGCACTGTAACGTCGCCTGTCCCCTGCTCTATTAACTCATCTGTCAAACGCTAGTTTTGGAAACTGTCTCATGAAGCTGCATAAATTTCATGGAATCCTTGGAGGACCGAATAAAGTAATTTTTAGCAGACAATAACTTAGGATGAGACATCATTAATTTTTACCTTAATACGGCTTCATAATAACCAGGAAATATGATAAAAGACAAAAAACTAAGAAGCACTAGTAGCAAACAAGGCACTACACTGATGTGATATCAAAATTGGGTGCGGCATGAAATCAACAGATGTCGACTCAATAGGTAAACTTTTAAAGAAATGTTTTGCCAATGGGCGCTCGCTTATATAAACGTTTGCAATATAAGTAACTACATTAAATGTCGATAAACGTTTGTCATTACTTGAGTAAGAAAAGCGGTTAATCTAAACTTTAAAAATAAAATAGGCTGAACAAGCTACCGCCATGTTCTGCAGATCCATGTTCAGATTTTTAGTAAGTGGGCGATTCTGTGAAATTTAATACGCAAGAACAAAATGAACAAAACTTGTTGCATCAACCACTGATATCCCGGTGCTCAATGATTAAGGTAGGTCACAGTTAAATAAGATAGAAATGAACCTAATCAACCAAAGAGAGAAATATATTTGAATTTCAGACCCAGTTATAATCAGCAAATAAAAAGTGTAGCGTTTTAAATGTTATTCATGCAAATTGTTTCCTGACACATTCACACGGAAAATGCCATTTTACAAAACCTTCCGAACTGGTGCTTAAGAACGTCTGAGGGAAAAAACAGTTCCTGGCAAGATGTCATCTTTAACATGCAGCAAGTCATGAAGAACCCGTCGATACAAATGATTAATGTCAACGTTGGAAATCAAAATCAGGGTACAACATGTACACAAGCATCAATATTAACAATAAAGAGAAGCTTTACTGATATCAAATTCATTATACAAAATAAGCGATAAAACGTAAGCGTAGAAGAGTAATCTAATGGACGCTTCATGCACGTACACTAAAATCATAATAAATTTACAGGCCACGGATATAACCTGCGCTCCATGAGATTACCACCACTTATTAAATTAGTGGAATCACTCATTACTTTCATACGCTGAAGACACTTATCTATACGACAAACGTTTCCTTACTTCTGGTTCCAGATAAAGGAAACCACATTACAGATCCTGTTAAAGGATGCCTGAACTAATACCGCTACGTATAAAGCATGGTCCATTACGGAACCCCTTGTTATTAACCTCGTTGCGTTAGTGTGATAATGCGAGAAAGTATTATACTCTTAAGTTCTATGTTCCATATGGGACAGAACTAATACTTATGCTAATGGAATGAACCGGTCATATGTTATTTACACAGTTACGAAAAAGTCAGCAGAATTACTATTACACTTCAGTGGTTTCGCTAGATCCGATTCAGATAATCTATCTGCTATGTACCTGATATGATCTACTCACTTTGTCCAAGAAATCATACCATTTCACTCGTTACTGGAAAAGGTACAACTGAAACTGCAATAAACGAATTCACATGGAACATAAACTAAAAAATTAAAAGCAAGAAGTTGAATGTTGATTTTCCTCCAGGACATTCACAAGAAAATCAGGTGAAAACCTGCATTGAATGAGTAATATAAAGTCTCAGGACTAGAGAAGTAAAATTTGGAAATCAAACAGCAAAACAGTAGGATGAGTATTCCTCAACAGTAGTTTTCAGAAAGTATAATTCACATCGAGTTTTGTGGGACAAAACTGAGAGAACATTTACGTAAGAACTTCTTGATCTAGTCATCCTAATTATCAAGTTAGATAAGAAGCCAACTATAGATGGCTATTACTGTATTGCATTACCAAATTTTTAAATCATGCAAGAATTGCGCCCGAAAATGGGATAGAGCAAGATTCATGAGAGTCAGCATGTCGGTTTCTCGTACTGCTAATTGTATAATGAGGGGCATGTGTGACATGCTTTGTTCGTACGGCTGATAGTGAAGCTTAAACCGTTTTTTCTTAATTGCGATGCTTATTTATCTAAGTAAAAAAAATCAAATTGAACATGATCCGAAGTAAAATCTAATATGCGAATCCCGTGCTACAAATACGTAGGAGGAGGGGAGAGGGGGTACATTTTTTCTTTTTAGCTACAGCAGCGACACAACTACTACTATTTCAATGCTTCTGGGACGAACTCCATATCTTAAGCAATTTGTTACAAGTTCAAAGCATAGGAAACTTACATCATACTTTCTGAACTTTTTTATATATTTACTTTTCTTAATCATACTGGACATTTCGCATATTGGAAGATGAAAATAAAATTTTTTTGTCCGCAAAACGATTTTTTTCACAAAAAGACAAGACTGCTGTATAATCGAAAAGTACTGCCCATTACTAAAAGCATAAATTTCAAAATATAGCATCATAAAGCGCATCAAACGACTGTTCTTTCTTGTACAGGAGACGCTACAAGTTTAAATACCGTCATATTGCACAAAAAACGTATTCAATGATACAGCATATCGCTCTAGGGGAAATCTCAAGCTACCGAACGTTGACTGAAAAAGATGATTCGAAAAACCGCACGAGCTCGACATGAACGAGTCACTCTAAGGATGGATATAACTGTTTTCGTGAGAACAAAAAATATAAACACTAGGCGTGAATGACAAGTTCAAACGTAATTTTCTCATATTTATATATTGTCTGCAGTGTACAGGATGCAGAGATCTCATTAATGAGTCGGAAAGAAACAACCATAGCTGCAACGAGGCCAAAATGAACGCCTTCAGCATTTTATACTTAATAATCTGCATGAATTACATGAAATGTTTCGTATATCACATCTATACTGCGGTAGTATAAGACAACAGAATTCATTACGGCAGGTTTTAGATCAATACTGCCCTTCGCGAGTGTTTCCAGCTGAAGAGGGGGACTATTTAAGCAGACCATGACTCCACGGTAATTAAGCATCTGCAGGATATCTATATAAGATATTTATATAAGAGAGCTGCTTCATAGAGTCACTTTATCTTGAGTATATTTACTGAAGATTTTAACACCTAATGCACTTCCTAACTGAAATTGCAATTTAACAGCAAACTGGTCTGTTAATGAACGACTACATATCATACAAAGTATGAAAATATGTCTACAAGAGAAATTTTTCTGACTAGGTTATTTATGGCCTGAATTCTTACACAACTGCTGAAGCTAAACTAATACGACTTGAAAAGCAACATCAATTAAACCATTGAATACGACCTGAATAATTACGATATATTTCAGACGACTGACGTTGACGTGTACAGACTGCAAAACCAGCTATGTCAACAGGTTTCGCTGCGAAATGCGCCAACGCATTTACTCAGCCATGAGCATAGATATTGCCGTAGAAAACGACTCGACTTTTAGAGACGAATGTCATACAGCAACTGTTCGTAACGAGAGACAACAAACGTACTAATCGATCACAGGACAGCCGTAATGTCTTCGTGTACTTTTGCATAGTATTATTTTGAGCATAAGCTTTTTGATATATATGAAGCCATCTGCGACTGTAACACATGTCACGCAACAGGGAGGTACATGTGTTAATGTTTAAAGCAGTAGAAGGGTTAAAACTGAACAGCTGAAGTGATTGAAGGCTGAAAAGCGAAGCACTTGCAGGTCTCTTTGTGCAGAAAACTAATTTTAATATGAATCAATACGTATGAAAAAAAAGCTTCATTTTATAATGAAAAATTATATCATTCGGAATGTCACAATGTGTACAATCTTCCATACACTTTATTACCATGCAAACTGGCGTTTTGGAATAAACTTGGTCCTGCTTAAGAGTTTACGCCAGCAACGGCAGGTTTAACGACTAATCTACTTTCCCCCTGAAACAAACCAACAAGGAAGGAAGAACGGAAGGTTAATTGCAAACAGCATCGACGGGAACCTATGTGTTTAACAGACCCCTAGAAATCAGTGTTTCGCAAAGGTTCATCGCACAAAATACAAAACTGCTCAGTTAGAATCCGTTTTTTAGACACGAGACAGCAAAGGGCGGACGGCCTGACGAAGTTACAAACATATACAAGGTTTAGGAGGACCGTTACATCATATTTTAGTGGTAAGACAGGTATAAAGCCATGCATTCTACTGCTAAATGCATTTAATCGGACAGCAAAACTGGCGATATACTCCCCATCCCGTCTGTTCTCGGGCAAAACGGAGACAGTGTGTTTGGCCGATCGAGATGAAGCCAACGCACTCTTCATGGGTTTTATTCATACTTTAAGGGCACACAAACAACTTCAACAAAACTTACAGAATTCTACCAAAACGTATTTGTTTTCTTTGATGACCTCATCGAAGTTATCCTTTGTCAACACCAAAACCGCATCTTCTTCCGTGTCGTTACTGGCGAAGACCGGAGACCACCACAGACCGGCAACCAATGTCGACGCCACGAACAATGTCCATATCATGATTTATAAGAGTAATTCACAAAAGATTGTACGGGGACACAACAACGAAAACTACGACCACCGCGACCGCTGCCGGTATGACCAAAAGTGAAAGAATATGCTCGGCCAACGAGACTACACGCAACGTGAACCACTTTCGCAGTCGAACCTAATTACTGATAAACAGTAAGGCAGCTGCATCCGTTATGAGAGTTTTGAGATCGCTGTGACGTCTACGCAACGCATTCAACTGGCATGATGCACCTGCCATCGAATCTCTGAGCAAAAGGCTAAAAAATATAAAATAAAGAAGAAAATGTGCAATATCGCAAACATCGATTTATCTATACAATTGCGTCTACTGCCTTTAATGCAAACTATAATAAAGAAAGTCGGCCGCATATCGAATGTTGGTGTTGCGTTGGTGAAGGTAACTGTATAGTAAGTTTTTCGTCAAGTCAAGCACACGTCATCCCAAAGTATACTTCGAAGCCATCTATGTACCGAATTTAAATAGTGATCTATTAACCTTTGTGTCAATTGCATAAATATACATTAATTATTATTTAAAACATGCGCAACAACCACTAAAATAAAATTCTCAAGTACCCTAAAACGGGTTAAACGGCACAAGGTAATATTTTGCCGGATAAAATTAATTGTTCTAAAATACAACTCAGCGTGAATAACTGATTTTAAGTAAATATCTTTTCAAATCAATGAATTATTCTTCAAAAGATATACGAAGACAGGTTTAAGCGCTGCAGTTTGATTTAAGTTTATAAATCCTAACGCATTTAATCATTTTCAGTTTGTGATGCCGGACGTATTTAGGTACGCACTTTCCATTCACTGTTTAAATGATTCACTTCGAAATCAGGGAATTCGCAGCTACTATTGATTCCTGAGCGAGAAAACCAACCATCAGTAAAATAACAAGAAATCCGCATTGTACCCAAGCCTAGGGGGAGGGCGTTCCTACCATCCTTTCTCCGTGCTTTAATGACAAGTTTCAATTTATGCCGGAATCGTGGCTTTATTCACTAAAGACGATGCCTCTTTGGACTGTTTGGTAGGTGTCGTATTGTAGTGAAAATGCAATGATTGTTGTCTTACATTAATGGATGCATCGCGAAAGAAAATCTCCACCCGTGATGATTTTAATAACGGGATGCTTCTCCTGCAATTTTATTTTGTGGCATCCGTTTTCAGCCGTTTTAATCGAAGAATATTCATGATTATGCATCATTTTAATTCATGGTGGTTGACTGTACTTTCATTATTTTGACGTCTTTGTTATATGAAAGTACCTTCTTCTATTGTTCGTTATTTAGGAACAAATCAATCAGTTTCATTATTTACCCATCCTTTTATGTCGGAAGGTATCAACATTGAACGCGTCTCCAAGGATTCTGAGACAGAGTCTCAACCATTTCAGATGATGATAACCTCACCGTAATTTTTTCTCAAGGTCATTTTTGACCTTCCTTGTGACTTTTACCAGTTGGCATATATTAAAAGCTGTTTTGTCTCCTTATCTAGGAGCATTCGCAAAATGTGTCAAAAATCGAATCTACAATTTCTCGAATCTACTTCTCATGAAGAAGCAGCATATGCATTATCAGAGTCCATCAGATCTCTTAGTTTCAGAATCTCTAGAGATTAATGACACCTACAATCCATGTAATGATGCTCATTTCAACCGCTTGCCTCCAGGAACGCATTTTTTCATTCACGGTAATAAACTTAGAAAAGGACAGTTTGCAGTAGTAAATTGTGAGATTTGAAAATAAGTTTGAATCTAAATGAAAAATCGGACTTAAAATTATTAATTTATAAATCATTCATTGAAACAAACATAAAATTTATTTATTTACTTTTCATTTAAAAGACACCCCAAGTTGTCCGTCAATGTCCCGAGTAGTAAATCAGGAACACAGATCAAGTTGTGGTTTAGTTGAGATTCAGTCATGAGCCTAAGCAGTCTCTTTATAAATCTATCTTTAGTTCCACACTCACCTATGGTCAAGAATCGTGAGCCATGATTTGAAAGTTCGATTACAGGGACAAACGGTGGAAATTGGCTGCCAGAGAAGACTCTGTAGGGTCAAAAATCTCGACAGGCTCCGAAGTTCAGCTGTCCGAGATTGCCTGGGGCAGCTGCTGTTTCTTCGGACTGAGAAGTCACAGCTGCAATGATCTAGGCACGTCATGTAAATGTTTTAAGAATGAAAGGCGAAACAGTTATTTCTTGCTATGCCGACCATCAAAGGCCCCCTGGGACAGCGGAAGATTACCTGGGCTAGTGTCTCGACAGATCTTGCATATTGACTGAACCTGAAATGCGAAAACTTCATAAGAAACTATGGAGAGGCTTTCTAAAACGTCTGCTTCTTAAAACCGAATTGCGAACCGCCATCGAAACTGTTATACATCATAGTTACTTCATAGTTCTACTCGTAGTTCATAGTTACTACAGCAATTTGACAAAAGCAAGATCATTGTTCAATCAGTTCCAAAATGCTCAACGATCCTGAATCTTATTTTACAATAGCACCTATTGGAAAGGCTAGTCTTAGCGTCTTTTTCCCCTCACTTTTATTACACGTTGATTTATCGGAATTTGTGACTTTAGTGCTTATGTTATTGGCGGGACGGTCAAAGTTTTGCCGGACTGTACTGTAGCTGAACTTTTAAAATAAAGAACGTCTGGAAAGTAGGTGTAAGCTTTTGGCAAGAATCTTCGAAGACATCTAGATCGTTCTCGTTTACTGACGTTGTTCCACAGTGAGAGGCCTGCGAACTAAACTTACACCTACAGCGGTCCTGAAGTTTTTTAATGCTCTTTTAAGAGACAGCTCGTTGCAAAAGTCTTGCTAAAGGTGAAAAAATCGCACCTCATGATGAAATTATTTTGATGACTAAATGTTCAGTTCAATAAGAAACCATAAAATTTATGACTTGATTTAAGAACCTACTACATTATGGCATGCGTCACGTCGCCCACCACATCCGCCATCTGGTAGAATGCATTCCAGGGTCTGGCTTGATCAATAGGTATTTTCGACCCTGTTCGGGTATATATGATTTCAAGAGGATGTCATGTGAGCTGGTACACTTTATATGTCAACTGATTAACATCGGTATACATGAATGCGTGAAACCTAGTCTCGATTGAGTTGTGGGCCAATTGGCACATCCTGTTAGAGGTATCAGGAAAGTTCCCCGACTGGAAGATTCACTGACCGGAAAATTCACCGACCCGCAATTCGTCGAACGGAAAATTCATCGATTTTACAATCGATCGCGGATTATTGACTTATGATGATCATAAAATAGTATTATTTAGAAATGACATATATGAAAGATTGTTAATGAGCGGAATAATTACCGTAATATTACCTACAAATTTTGTCCAATGCGTTTATTTACAAACAGCGTATTTGAAAGATTAGTTAATGATCACAATAATTGCCATGCTTAACTCCTATATAAAGCCTCAAAAAATTCAGAGGTCAGTTTCAAAAAGTTTTCGAGTGTGATACTTCAGTTACGAATCTTCATTAACCGTCATGGCCCTTCAGTTCGTTTCGAGTGAAAAGATAAGAGAGAAATGTTTAGTAGATGGTCACTCATTTTTCATAGAAAATCGAACTGACGAGACATATTGGAAGTGTGAAATGCAGCAGAGGCACAAGTGCCGGGTTCATGTAATAACAGTTGGAGATACCACTGAGGCTGTGAATGGAGTTAACAACTGCATTGGGGATGCAGCTCATATAGAAACTTTGAAGACGGAGAATATTGTACGTGATCATGCAATAAATAACCAAGATGCACCCAAATATATTATATCTAGTGCGTCTGTGGAACAGGCAAGATTCTGTAGGACATATTGCGACGAACGATAGTATTAAAAAAACGATCCAAAACATTGGAATAAGGAAACAAGCGGCACCAGCTTTGCCTATAACCTGAGGAAATTACTTTTCCCGAAGAGTAAAAGATATCTAAAGAAAGTGAACCGTTTTTGCTCTTTGATTCAGGACCGACGGAAGATAGAATTGTTATATTATCCACCGCAAGAAATCTCCGTTTTCTGTCCTCATCTGAACATTAGTTTGAGCATGGAAATTTTATACCAGTGCCTCATTTGTTTTACCAACTCTGCACACTCCATGGTATTCAGGTGAAGAATTCAATTCTGCTTTTGTACGCTCTACTACCAGACAGAGACTACATATTGCAACAAGAAAACAGCGTCAACCTGATGACTCCTCACAAACATTTATGATCGATTTCGAACTGGTCAATCGTGCCATTCGTCAAGAATTTCCAAGCACTAGACATCGAGGATGTTACTTCCATTTTTCGCAGTATATACTGCGAACAATTAAAGCAGAAGGTCTATAATGAAGGTACGAAACTGATGTCGAATCTGCAATGAAAATATGACTGTTGTCTGCGATGGCCTTTGTCCCAATAGAAGATGTGGTAGAAGTCCATTTGTGGTCTTTAGCGGTAGCGATGATTACATGCCAGAAGAAGCACAACGCTGGATTGATTTCTTTGAGGACTACTGGATTGAACTTCCTCAACGACGCGTGCGCTGCCGAATGCCCCGCTTCTCCATAGAATTGAGGAACTGTCACAAAGGAGTAAGACACCGTCTTCCGAAGGCAAATAATTCATTTGAAGGGTGGCATTGTGGATTCGAAATACAAATATCTGCACAACACCTACCCTTATATCTAGACTGAAGCAATTCACCGTGAGCGGAGCATCAGAACATTGCAAATAGAAGAATATGTCAGTGGCATACAACGTAACCCTGCGCGTAAGAAATATAGGGGTTGCTCCGATAAATATTTTATAATAATTGAGAATTATGACAGAAATAATGCTATAGAACT